GTGCATGCTACCATGTGTGCCATTTGTCAACTTGCATGCCTTTGAAAAGGCCACTTGGCAAGCCCAGAGTGCCACCTTCCCACCTTTGGAGTATAAGTTTGTCTTTCTCTATCTACACCTCACATTTTGGATCCCAAGTTCAGCCCTTTTGTGCCATTAGTTGGAGAGCTGGAGAAGCTTGCTGGAGTGGATAGTGGAGGGAGATTGGAATCACCATTGGGACACAAAGGTAAGTAGATCACTACCTTGCATACTTATGAGCATGAAAACATGAAGGAAACATGGTTTGGCAATAAGCATGTGTAAAAAAATGATGATTGCATTTTCCAGAAAGTTTGTCTTCCTTTGTATGATGAAAATGAGTACTGAAATCCTTTTGATGGCCCTAAATTTTGGTGGAGTGATACCTTTACGAGCCTAGTTTAAGCTAGATTGGCTTCATGTTATTACCTTGCATAAATTAAGAGTTAGGAAATGATTTTGGAAGTGCGTCATGGCTGGACTGTGAAATTCTAAGGAAAATTAAGGTTTTTGTGACTCCCTGTTACCATAACAAATTATCTCAGAATTGCCTCAAATTTCCACCATTGGAAAGATCTCTGAGTCTACTTTGAGTTTTTTGTGTATGTCTAGTTGTGATCCTTGCTAGTTTAGAAGATATGTTTCATTTTGTGCTCATATATCATTGTTAGCAGACTGTGATAATTTTCATAAATATTGCTTCTATTGTATTGAAACTTTACCTGACCTCTTGAGGTCCAAATGATACAAAAACACAACATTTGATAGATCCATAAGTCTTTTATGATTTTCATGTTTTAACCTTACCTAAATTTTGTGTAAATGGGGAGCTATGCTATAAAATGTTTCAGTATGTCACTATTGACAGCTTTCACAAAAACTCATAATTTTGGTCTCTGTTGTCATGAATTTTGACCGACCAAATGGAGTCCAATTACTCCAAAGCCACAGCTTTTTGGAAGCTCTAAATGTTTACTAAAAATTGCATGTTAAAATTGTTTCAAAATTTCTGCTAGGTTGAAAGCTATGATTTGAATTGTGAACATATGTCATTATTGGCAGAATTCAACAAGATTCAGAACGATATACTAGACCCTTAATTGATCAAGTAATACTCAGTTAGCGAATTGGAACCAAAATTCCTCTCATAGTTCGGGTGTTATGCCTCATTATGTTTATGCCCATGATTGATAAGAATAACAATGAATTTTAAGTTGTATATGAATTATGCACATGTCATGTATCGACGTTTCTTTCTGAGCGTAGCTTAATCCCTTTTGCAAGGTGATTGAAATTTTATGTTATAAGACATCGAAATAGCATGCTTATGACCCTACAAATATTGAATGCTCCTGACCTTTTTAAAAGAGTAAAGTATGAATGGATGAAAGTTGTACGTGCTTGTACATGGTAAAACTGATATATGTGATTTCTGGCCACGATGTAATGGGTCCTCTATTGGTAGTGGATATTGTGATTCTGTTATATGAGACTGATATATATGATTTCTGGCCACTACGCAATGGGTCCTCCATTGGTAGTGGATACTGTGATTATGTTATATGAGACTGACATATGTGATTTTTGACCACTACGCAGTGGGTCCTCCATTGGTAGTGGATACTGTGATTCTGCTATATGAGATTGATATATGTGATTTCTGGCCACTACGCAATAGGTCTTCCATTGGTAGTGGATACTGTGTTTGTTGACAAGTTATGACTTTTCCCCGACTCCAATGATAAGAGTGGAGTCAGGAGATAACTGTAAATAATAGGGTGGGTCGCACCTCCCAAATTATTATAGGCACTACGCATGGGGTCCTCCAATCGTAGTGTTATGCCCTCTCGCCCGAAAGCGCGAGGAGATGGCTTGCAAGGCCTCAACTTATTAAAAACCCTAAAGCGCGTTGGGGATTGTGTGTGTGAGTAAAGACATTACGAAATAGGACCTCCATTTGCTATTGTCATCCCTCTTGAATGAAGGTAGAAGTCTCAAGTTACAGGACTGGCTTAGCCTAGAAGTCCCAAGTTACAGGACTGGCTTAACCTGATCGATGGGGCTTCTACTTCGAGAATAAGCTCTGCTAGCTTCTGTCCCTATGAACTGTATGCTTAGCTGAGTTTCAGACTGTGTGATTTAGAGAAATGTTCATGTAACTTTTAACTCATGTGAATATGCGAAGTTTTAATACCTGAACTTTACTTTGTTTATTTCGCTTGAACACTCTGATGCATGACCTTGTTCTCTGATACCACGTGAACTATAATAATCTGTGGGCCTATTATCTCGTATGTGTGCATTTTAGGCAGGAATGCAAATGTATTGTTTTACTTATTGGGGTTTTAGCTCATGCCTCTCTTTTCCCTTCTTTGTAGAGTGAGCATCGATAGCTCATGTGTGAACTGCTAGACGATGGTAGCAGACTTTTGAAGCTCGCAGTTCTGTCCAGAAATCTCTTGATTGTAGGCTTCTGGTGGCGGCGCCACAATGTCTTTCTGATGAAATATTGTATTTTGTTGTCATGCAAGTAGCGCCTTGAACCTCTTGTAAAAGAATATTTGAAGGCTGGATTTGTATAAATGGTTTTATTTTGTTCTAATTGTGGCCATTTGTTTATGAGTTTCTTTTGATTCATGGTTTGCTTTGATTCCGCATTTATAATACGTGTTGATGTCTCTCCCACCTGAGTGACGTACGCGACCTCCGGTGGAGATCCCATACTCTGTCGTCCTCCAGTTGGGAACAGTAGGGGTCAGGGGGCTGGGTGTGACACTTGAAAATTGACGGTCCAAAAATACATTTCAAGATACACTATTTTCAAAACTTGAAATCCATTTTTTTTCTCATGTTCATGCATCTTGATGTCTAGATGGTCAATTTGAGGATATTTGGGCATTAAAACAACCTTTTCGAGTGAAATTTTTGAAGTGGGTTTGAATTTGATTGTTTAGAGCCTCAGCTCTATATAAAGTTTTTCCATTAAAAAAAGTACAAGAATAAACGTAACAAAAAATAGATTAAATATATCTTTTGCAACCGGATCATGAAGCGATTCAGTGTTTGAAACATTGAATTGCATGAAAAAAATAAAATTTTCATTAGGTTGAAAGGTTCGATGTTTCAAACATTGAACTGTTTGAAATAGTGGGACCTTATAATTCATCTGCTATTTTAAACATGGGACCGTCTTAAAAATGAAACAATACCTCGTCACTCAACGTTATGAAATATTCGAAACAGATGGAACCAACCCTAATTTGGCTCTCAAAGGCACGATTCAAGAGGAAACAATGCAAGGTAAAATGCATGATAAACAAATTAATTGGATTTCCCTCCCTAGTTACTAACAATAAAGAAGAATACTGAAATCATGGAGTTTGTATCCTCACGCAGGGAGAGGGGGTGTGGGAGCAGAGAGATGAAGTGGAGGGAGACGGGACATTAAACGTAAGGAAAATTGTTTCATGCGGGCTGGATCACATTTCTACAATATGCGATCCAGAGGTATAAAGCATTTATTTTAAAGATTGATGCAAATAAGTAATCTATCTAAAAACAAGTGTAACGAATGGTTCAAATGTTTTTTTAATATAATTATTATTTCTAGTTTTCATTTTTTTTTGAGCTTGAAATCCTTTTTTTCACAACCATAATTTTCAATCTAAGACGATCGATATAAAGGTTTTTCAATGCTTGCATTGCAATTTTCGATGAGTTATGAGATGAAGCTTTAATTATTTTAATAGGGCCACAGCCCTATCAAGCCATTTTTCTTAAATATATTGCAAAAAAAAAATATACAACTTTGTTTAACCGTTCTGACGAGTCAAAATTAACTAAGTCCAATTGACCAAACCAATCAATTATTACCAATCTCAAAACAAAATTTATATTGGATTACTACAGTTAGTCCTGAGCATGCCAAGAAGCCTAATTGAATGCCATTGAATGGCAAATGCCCCTTTGAGTCTTCCCCCTACTAAACCATAAAATAGAAGAAAGGTAGATTCAGCCTACAGAGGGTACAAAAAGAAGATACACACTTGCACAAGATGGAATTTAGAGAACAGCCTTGGTAGTAATTTAATTTAATGCCCCTCCTCAAGGAATTTGCGATGAAAACATATTTAAGGCGATTACAAAGATTTTTAGCATTGAAACCATATTTCACAATACTATTTAAAAGTATGCTTTAGTTTGATTGTTTAGAGCCTCAACCTTATACAAACTAGATACTTTGAACAATGTGTGTGACCTATTCTAGTACAAACCAAAGAACAATTCGGAAAAGCAAACTTAAGATGGATAGCAACTACAGAGAGTAGAAGCCATTGTTGCAGGTCGTGGCTTGCTCTAGTCGTACAGGTACCTCTGCATCACCGTCTATTATTTTCTAAGACGGTGATGGCCTAATTCTTGGTATTTTTCGTAGTCCCGTGGACTATATACTAGCATGCTTTATAGCAATAAATTTATTGGAAAATTTGCATATAAGATGATCAAACTATGACATTGTCACTTATTTTGGCTTATAATATCTTTGACCATAGTTATCAAGATCGAATCAAGCCATCTGTTTGATCAGTTGGACCATCGGTAAGTGTCTTCACCTGTCTAATCTAAGACAAAAGCTTTGATCCAATCGAAAATCGATCAAAATGAGTATTTGACTAGCTTTAGCTATTTAGATGTTATGATATTGACTAGTTCGTTTAGCTAATCAAAGTTAAAACTTTGTCTGATGCATCTCAATTTTTTTAAGATATAGCACTGAGCACTTAAGCCCGAGCCTAATCCCTACTTGTATGTTCTTTTTTTTTTTCTTCTACTTCCTTTTTATATATATACCGCGCCCAGTTTTGAGTGGACCGGCTCGTATGGGTTCGGTGGGCCAGTCCGACCTATGATTATCGGTTAGTGTTCGACCTTTTTTCAAAATGAACTAAATATGTATGGGCTGTTTCCATGGAAATGAGACTCCAGGAGTCCCATTTCTGGGAGCACCAAACGCGACATAAGAGGGAGTTTAAGATCTCGAGAAGGCATTTCCAGTGTTCCAGTGTCTCGGGGGTGCGAGGATTTTAGTTTGCCCTAGAGGGAGAAAGAGAGACCGTAATATTGGAGTAGAGAGAGAGAGGAAGAAGGCGAAGCAGAAGAAGGAGCAAGATGAGCAGCGTAGATATACCTCAGAACATGACCATCTACATCAACAACCTGAACGAGAAAATCAACGCCCCCAGGTACTCTCTCTCTCTC